AGAGAAAGAGTAATAGAGAGAGAGAGAGAGAGAGAACAGGTCCGCACCCCAGTGAATGACAAATTCGTGAAAACCATGGTAAAAAATGTGACAATACTGAAAGACGCTAATGACGGCCGAGGTAGTCCATGAAAGGAAAATGACAGAGGAAAGACTTATGATAAACATCATTGTCACACACTCTCTCCTTCCCTCCCTCCTTGTTTGTATGCGTGTTTATGTGCGTGTAAACACATTCTCTCTCTCTCTCTCTCTCTCTCTCTCTCTCTCTCTCTCTCTCACACACACACACACACATGCACACACACACACACACACACACACACACACACACACACACACACATGCACACACACACACACACACAAGCACACACACACACACACACACATACACACACACACAGTCGCATATAGATAGATAGATAGATAGATAAAAATTCTAATTTTAACAACAAAACTTTAAGGGATGATAATGATATTGATAACAATGATAATGATGATGATGATGATAATTTTGATAACATGAAAAATAATCATTAAAACAAAACAAAAAAATGATAATTATCATTACCATTATCATTATCCCTGCATCTCTTATTCCTCCTCCCAATCAAATATCCCTCACATGATACGAGAACACATTGATAAATAACATTAATAGTGTATTCAACCACAGGAAACCATCACCTAATACGTAGAATATGGCGCGTGATCTCCGGGCTAAGTTTCAACCAACAAAACAGCTGTGTTTGTAGAAGACTTGCGGTGTAAATTATCTAGAGAGGCGTGTCAACTTTACCTCATGGCGGGAGAGGGAATGGGCACCAGGAGGACCTCGCGATGTGGATAAAATGAATGAGAGTGGAGAGAATAGAAAAGGAGAGGAGGGGAGCGGAGGAGAGGAGGGGAACGGAGGAGAGGAGGGGAGCGGAGGAGAGGAGGGGAACAGAGGAGAGGGGGAGGTTAGAGGAGAGAGGGGGGGGGTAGGAAGGGAGAGGAGGGGAAAGGAGAGGAGAGAGGGAGAGAGAGAGGGAGAGGAGGGGAGCGGAGGAGAGGAGGGGAAAGGAGAGGGGAGAGGAAAGGAGGAGAGAGAGAGGAGGGGAAAGGAGAGGAGAGAGGGGAGAGGAAGGAGAGGAGAGAGGGGAGAGGAAGGAGAGGAGAGAGGGGAGGGGAAAGGAGAGGATAGAGGGGAGAGAAGGGGTAAGGGGAGGAGAGAGGGGAGGGGAAAGGAGAGGAGAGAGGGGAGAGGAGAGAGGGGAATGGAGGGAGTGGAAAGGGAGAGAGAGAGAGAAGGAGAGAGAGAGAGGAGGGGAAAGGAGAGGAGAGAGGGGAGAGGAAGGAGAGGAGAGAGGGGAATGGAGGGAGAGGAAAGGAGAGGAGAGAGGGGAATGGAGGGAGTGGAAAGGGAGAGAGAGAGAGAGAGGAGAGAAGGGGTAAGGAGAGGAGAGAGGGGAGGGGAAAGGAGAGGGGAGAGGGGAGAGGGGAGAGGAAAGGAGAGGAGAGAGGGGAATGGAGGGAGAGGAAAGGAGAGAAAGGAGAGGAGAGAGGGGAGAGGAAGGGAGAGGAGAGAAGGGACTGGAGGGAGAGGAAAGGAGGAGAGAGAGAGGAGGGGAAAGGAGAGGATAGAGGGGAGAGAAGGGGTAAGGGGAGGAGAGAGGGGAGGGGAAAGGAGAGGAGAGAGGGGAGAGGAAGGGAGAGGAGAGAGGGGAATGGAGGGAGAGGAAAGGAGGAGAGAGAGAGGAGGGGAAAGGAGAGGAGAGAGGGGAGAGGAAGGGAGAGGAGAGAGGGGAATGGAGGGAGAGGAAAGGAGGAGAGAGAGACGAGGGAAAGGAGAGGAGAGAGAGGAGAGGAAGGGGTAAGGAGAGGAGAGAGGGGAGGGGAAAGGAGAGGGGAGAGGGGAGAGGGGAGAGGAAAGGAGAGGAGAGAGGGGAATGGAGGGAGTGGAAAGGGAGAGAGAGAGAGAAGAGGGGCGAGGAGAGGGGTGAGGAAGGGAGAAGAGAGGAATGGAGAGGAGAGAAGTGAGGAGGTGAAACGAGAGGAAAAGAGAGCAGAGAGGGGGCAAGGGAATAGAGTGAGTTAGGAGAGAGGGAGGGGGAGGGAGATAGACAGATAGCTAGGTACATAGACAAACAGATAGAAAGAGAGAGAAAAGGAGAGAGAGAGAGAGAGAGAGAGAGAGAGAGAGAGAGAGAGAGAGAGAGAGAGAGAGAGAGAGAGAGAGAGAGAGAAGGAGAGAAGAGAGAGAGAGAGAGAGAGAGAGAGAGAGAGAGAGAGAGAGAGAGAGAGAGAGACAGATGGAGAGAGAGAGAAAAGGAGAGAGAGGGAGAGAAAGAGAGAGAGAGAGAGAGAGAGAGAGAGAGAGAGAGAGAGAGAGAGAGAGAGAGAGAGAGAGAGAGAGAGAGAGAGAGAGAGAAGGAGAAAGAAAGAAAGAGAGAGAGAGAGAGAGAGAGAGAGAGAGAGAGAGAGAGAGAAAGAGAGACAAAGAGAGAAGGAGAGAGACAGAGAGAAATCCACAATCATACAGTCAGACAGAGAAAGAATGAAGTGAGAGAGGAGAGGGAGGTAAGTTCGTTTGGTATTTCGTAAGACAAACGATTTATAGTCTCATATCACTCATATGCTTTCACTCTCTACCCTTATCTAGAGCTATAATGAATGTTTATTTAGTTTCCAGTGAATGTAATCAATATGGACACATTTGGATTACTATATCAGGATATGTTGACTGACCACGATAAGTAAAATAAAACTTTCGCCTTACCTAAGAGAGCAGACTTTCATTTCCCAGCGTAAAAAAAAAACATTTCAGATTTTGTTTCAGATAGCCATTTCTACTAAAGCGTCCCTTTAGATACAAACAATATACCCACGCAAATAAATAAAAGGATATTTTTGGCAGTTTCTCTTTACATTTTAAGCAGGTAGTTCACAGCCATTTCTACCTCAATCGATTACACATCCAAGTTCTCCGTTTTCTTCTACTCCGACGGGATCGTTTTTCATGGGGGACTTCCGCAAAAAAACACTCACTTCTGGGTCCGATTACGTGATACATTAAACCGACAAATCCTCATCATCTATCCTTTCCTGGAGGCAAAATGACTTTAAAGAAACGAGGTACAAAGAGAAAGAATTTATCCACGGTCGTATAGACTAAAAAAAAAAACTCGATTTTAAGTCGTAATCTGGAGCTATTCTTTTTCTCAATACTACGCACATGTGACCTAAAAACCTGACATTCACCACATCACGTAACTAAATACCTGCCACCTACTTCTTCATTATCTCGCCTCCTCCCTCCATAAAGTAAATGCTCAAGACGGGTTCGCTCTCCCCTGTGATTTCCTCTCCTCACCCCGTGATAATTTAGCCTCCTTACCCGCACAATGATCTCCCTTAAATATTTACAGGAAGAGCTATCCTCTCGTCTCTCCGGTTGCGTGTGTGTGTGTGTGTGTGTGTGTGTGTGTGTGTGTGTGTGTGTGTGTGTGTGTGTGTGTGTGTGTGTGAATATGGAGTGTGTGAATATGGGAGTGTGTGAATATGTGTGTGTGTGTGAGAGAGAGAGAGAGAGAGAGAGAGAGAGAGAGAGAGAGAGAGAGAGAGAGAGAGAGAGAGAGAGAGAGAGAGGAGAGAGAGAGAGAGAGAGAGAGAGAGAGAGGGGGGGGGTGCGTGTGCGTGTGCGTGTGCGTGTGCGTATGCGCGTGTGCGTGTGAGTGTCCGTGTGCGTGAATGGGCAGCTGTGTGTGTGTTAATTAGTGTGCATGCATGTGCATTTACGTGTGCTTATGATCTCTCATGTTGCAATGGTTGCCTTGCTCTTCTACACGCCTCTTGACATGTGCAGAGGTCATATTGAAAGCCAGGCGCTGAGGCCCTCTGCCACCCGATGCCTCCACGTGTCCCTCGCCCGCTACCAATATCACTGTCACCTGGTCGGGCCCGGTCCTGTCATGTCACGCTGAAACCTGCCGCTCCCCCTTGCGACCTCCCAATTCCCCCTTTCCCCTTCCCCCCTCCCTCCCTCCCTCCCACCTCTTTCTCTCTCTCTCTCTCTTGCCTAACTAGTAACCATATACATTTCTATTGCGAAATAAAAATCCATTCAATCCAGTGGTTTCTAATAGTGTTATACCAATACCCATTTTCGTCGAAAAAATCCCATACAAAGACTCGCTCGCATCCCTTCAGCTGAACAACGCAGTTCTCCCGACAACTGTACAGACATACCTCAGACTGTTCCTTTAACATACTGTCTCCTTTGCATCTGATCTTAAAGTAAGATATCCCTTCTGATAGAAATAACACCATTGTTTTTGCGTGCAGTCAATTTAGCATTTTTATACAGCGATGTATCTTTTATTGAGAATACTTTGCGAGTAATACATATATATATATCTTAACACACACACACACACACACACACACACACACACACACACACACACACACACACACACATATATATATATATATATATATATATATATATATATATATATACAGATTGCTACATTAAGACGTCTTTTGCATTCCTGTCCTTATCGAAACACATGACAGGTAATAAAGCTCCCTGTATATAGACCTAAATTCTCATATCTCCTTTGCTCTCTCTCTCTCTCTCTCTCTCTCTCTCTCTCTCTCTCTCTCTCTCTCTCTGGTTTTCGATTACATCGTGTAGAAGCAATCCATATTTTGAGATCAAATAATTACTGTATTTGAAAGGTACCTTCCTTTTAATGTACACAGTCGTTTATCTAACAAATCAACTATTTTGGCCAATCGCCATAAACTACGCTACGTTTCACTCAACGCGATTACAAAAGCGGTACAATTCTTCAAAGAGAGCCCCCTTCCTGAGTTGAATTCAGTAATAACATTAGAGTTTTAGTACTTTCTAAGTGGAAGACGTAAGCCAGCTAGATTTTGCGGCGAGAGATAAAAGCACGTGTCCCTCCCCATCTCGCGAACCGAGGGGCGCTGGATAACATCTCTTACCTTCCTCCTGCTCCTCGTCGGCCGCTTTCGCGAAATATTCGCCGTACTCGTCAACCATGTCTGGATCCGTTTCAGGGTCGTACTTCTGCCTCTTCATACGAGCCCGGAACTTCTGCACGGGCATCGTGACACTCTCTCTCCCCGGCCCAGCGGTCACCTTAGAGCCCTCTGACCCAGGCCATAGTGGTTCCTCCGGCAGTACTTCCTGGTGGCTCTAGATCCCCCTTAGGGCCTTCCTAGGGCTAGGACACGCAGACAGGCGGGTATGGCAGCCTGTGACACAGATTTTATCACTCCAATACCACTATTTCGATCGTCTTATCGATGACGATGATCACTCGCGACAGGGCCGCAAAGGGGATAGATCAGGCCACAAAAAATACAAAGGCACTTTTCCTGCAAGCTTCTATTTCTCACTAAACACTTCGCACTCTGCAGGGAACACTGCCGCAGCACCACGCAGCCCAGAGTAGAGGGACGTAAAAATATGGTCGCAGCCTCCCCCTCGTCACCACCGCGAGAGAAAGAGAGAGAGGGGGAGAGAGGGAGACAGAGACAGAGAGAGAGAGAGAGAGGAGGGCTTTCTCTAGAGCGGAGACACTCCCACGTCCCAGTGTTTTCCGCGGTGGGCCAGATGGGCGGGCTCGCTGGGCACCCCAGTAATGCCACACGCAAAGTAAGGGCCGCCTCCACACGTCTCTCCGTCGCAGTCGCACGCGCTCCTGGCGAGGGCTGACTTCCTCTCCCACACCGGGCGACGCCTCCACAGTACTTGCAGGTTATGAGTAATCGGGCTCGGCGTGAGTCGGGGGGCGCGAGGCAGCGGGGGCGGCGATCCCAGGCCCTGTTATCAGTGATGGCGGCGGCCGTG